TGTGTATAGTGTGTGGTGTGGTGTGTGTGGTGTGTGTATAGTGTGTGTGGTGTGTGTATAGTGTGTGTATAGTGTGTGTGGTGTGTTTGGTGTGTGTGGTGTGTGTGGTGTGTGTGGTGTGTTTGGTGTGTTTGGTGTGTGTGGTGTGTGTGGTGTGTGTGGTGTGTGTGGTGTGTGTTTGGTGTGTGTGGTGTGTGTGGTGTGTTTGGTGTGTGTGGTGTGTGTGGTGTGTTTGGTGTGTGTGGTGTGGTGTGGTGTGTGTGGTGTGTGTATGGTGTGTGTGGTGTGTGTGGTGTGTGTGGTGTGTTTGGGGTGTTTGGTGTGTGTGGTGTGTGTGGTGTGTGTGGTGTGTGTATAGTGTGTGGTGTGGTGTGTGTGGTGTGTGTGGTGTGTGTGGTGTGGTGTGTGTGGTGTGTGAATAGTGTGGGTGGTGTGTGTATAGTGTGTGGTGTGTGTATAGTGTGTGTGGTGTGTGTGTGGTGTGTGTGTGGTGTGTGGTGTGTGTGTGGTGTGTGTGGTGTGTGGCGTGTGTGGTGTGTGTGTGTATAGTGTGTGTGGTGTGTGTGTGTATAGTGTGTGTGGTGTGTGTGGTGTGTGTATAGTGTGTGTGGTGTGTGTGGTGTGTGTGATGTGTGTATAGTGTGTGGTGTGTGTATAGTGTGTGGTGTGTGTGGTGTGTGTGTGTGGTGTGTGTGAGGTGCGTGTAGAGTGTGTGTGGTGTGTGTATAGTGTGTGTGGTGTGTGTGTGGTGTGTGTGTGTGGTGTGTGTGTGGTGTGTGTGTGGTGTGTGTGGCGTGTGTGGTGTGTGTGTGTATAGTGTGTGTGGTGTGTGTGTGTATAGTGTGTGTGGTGTGTGTGGTGTGTGTATAGTGTGTGTGGTGTGTGTGGTGTGTGTGATGTGTGTATAGTGTGTGGTGTGTGTATAGTGTGTGGTGTGTGTGGTGTGTGTGTGTGGTGTGTGTGAGGTGCGTGTAGAGTGTGTGTGGTGTGTGTATAGTGTGTGTGGTGTGTGTGGGGTGTTTGGTGTGTGTGTGTGGTGTGTGTGGTGTGTGTGGTGTGTGTGTATAGTGTGTGGTGTGGTGTGTGTGGTGTGTGTATAGTGTGTGTGGTGTGTGTATAGTGTGTGTATAGTGTGTGTGGTGTGTGTGGTATGTGTGGTGTGTGTGGTGTGTGTGGTGTGTGTGTATAGTGTGTGGTGTGGTGTGTGTGGTGTGTGTATAGTGTGTGTGGTGTGTGTGGTGTGTGGTGTGTTTGGGGTGTTTGGTGTGTGTGTATAGTGTGTGTGGTGTGTGTGGTGTGTGTATAGTGTGTGGTGTAGTGTGTGTGGTGTGTGTGGTGTGTGTGTGGTGTGTGTGGTGTGGTGTGTGTGGTGTGTGAATAGTGTGGGTGGTGTGTGTATAGTGTGTGGTGTGTGTATAGTGTGTGTGGTGTGTGTGTGGTGTGTGTGTGTGGTGTGTGTGTGGTGTGTGTGGTGTGTGTGTGGCGTGTGTGGTGTGTGTGTGTATAGTGTGTGTGGTGTGTGTGTGTATAGTGTGTGTGGTGTGTGTGGTGTGTGTATAGTGTGTGTAGTGTGTGTGGTGTGTGTGATGTGTGTATAGTGTGTGGTGTGTGTATAGTGTGTGGTGTGTGTGGTGTGTGTGTGTGGTGTGTGTGAGGTGCGTGTAGAGTGTGCGTGGTGTGTGTGGTGTGTGTGTGGCGTGTGTGGTGTGTGTGTGGTGTGTGTATATAGTGTGTGTGGTGTGTGTGTGTGGCGTGTGTGTGGGGTGTGTGTGGTGTGTGTGTGGCGTGTGTGTGTGGTGTGTGTGTGGTGTGTGTATAGTGTGTGTGATGTGTTTGGTGTGTGTATAGTGTGTGTGTGTGGTGTGTGTGTGTGTATAGTGTGTGTGGTGTGTGTGTGGCGTGTGTGTGGTGTGTTTGGCGTGTGTGGTGTGTGTGCATAGTGTGTGTGATGTGTGTGGTGTGTGAGTGGTGTGGTGTGTGTGTGGTGTGTGTGGTGTGTGAGTGGTGTGGTGTGTGGTGTGTGTGGTGTGTGTGTGTGGTGTGTGTGGTGTCTGTCATGTGTGGTGTGCGGTGTGTGGTGTGTGTGTGGTTTGTGTGGTGTGTGTGTGGCGTGTGTGGTGTGTGTGTATAGTGTGTGTGGTGTGTGTGGCGTGTGTGTGGGTGGTGTGTGGTGTGTGTGTGGTGTGTGTTTGTGGTGTGTGTGTGGTGTGTGTATAGTGTGTGTGGTGTGTGTGGTCCGTGTGGTGTGTTTGGTGTGTGTATAGTGTGTGTAATGTGTGTGTGGTGTGTGTGTGGTGTGTGTGTGTGGTGTGTGTGTATAGTGTGTGGTGTGTATGTGGCGTGTGTGTGGTGTGTGTGGCGTGTGTGGTTTGTGTGGTGTGTGTGATGTGTGTGGTGTGTGTGGTGTGTGAGTGGTGTGGTGTGTGGTGTGTGTGGTGTGTGTGGTGTGTGTCATGTGTGGTGTGCGGTGTGTGTGTGGTGTGTGTGGTGTGTGAATGGTGTGTGAGGTGTGTGTGGTGTGTGTGTGGTGTGTGTGTGTGTGGCGTGTGTGGCGTGTGTGTGTATGTGATGTGTTTGTGGTGTATGTGGTGTGCGTGTGGTGTGTGTGGTGTGTGTGTGGTGTATGTGTGGTGTGTGTGGGTGTGTGTGTGGTGTGTGTGTGTCGTGTGTGGGGTGTGTGTGGTGTGTGTGTGTGTCGTGTGTGGTGTGTGTGGTGTGTGTGTGTGGTGTGTGTTGTGTGTGTGTGTGGTGTGTGTGTGTGGTGTGTGTGGTGTGTGTGTGGTGTGTGTGTGTCGTGTGTGGTGTGTGTGGTGTGTGTGTGGTGTGTGTGTGTGGTGTGTGTGTGTCGTGTGTGTGGTGTGTGTGTGTCGTGTGTGGTGTCTCTTTCTCTCGGGAAGGACTTCCCCTGTTTCGCTTCAACCGGCGCACCGCACTGGCGCAGAATTCGAGAAGTGACGCGGCCGCCCACCACCACCACCCATCACCAACAGCTACCACCCACTACCACCACCCACTACCACCACCCACCACCACCCACCACCCACTACCACCACCCACCACCACCACCCACAGCTACCACCCACCACCACCCACCACTACCACCACCACCCACCCCTGCAGCCTGCACCCACCACTACCACCCACTACCACCACCACCACCCACCACTACCACCCACTACCACCACCATCCACCACCCACCACTACCACTCACTACCACCACCACTCACCACTGCAGCCTGCACCCACCACTACCACCCACTACCACCACCACCCACTACCAAAAAAAGACAAAGATCCCCCGTATAGCCTAAACATACTGTAGGGGCAAGTGCTGTTAGCGAGCACCTATCAAGGCCGGCACGGCACACGAGGGGGTGGGTGGCCAACACCACGCCCGGTCGCCTTTGTCTCCCTAGTAGCGATGTTTGTACATTGCACCAGGTACTCATTTGAGGCTGGGTCGACCTAGGGGAGGCCCAGGACAGGTTCAGGTAATCGTTGCTGGTGTTGGCCGTGAGTGGGGATGGTGGTGGTGGTAGTGGGTGGTGGTGGGTGGTAGTGGTGGTGGGTGGTGGTGGTAGTGGTGGGTGGTAGTTGTGGGTGGTAGTGGTAGTGGTGGTGGTAGTGGTGGTAGTGGTAGTAGTGGTGGGTGGGTGGTAGTGGTGGTAGTGGTGGGTGGGTGGTGGGTGGTGATTTGGCGCCCCTGGTTGGCATTCATTCACGATGTCGGTGGCCTCGTCTCGTCGCCCCTTCCCCCGCTGCGCTCTCGTCCCATTTGTGTTTTGTGTTTGTTTTGTATTTTTGTTGGGTTTGTTTTGTGTTTGTTTTTTGTTTGTGTTTGCTGTGTCTTTGTTTTGTGTTTGTTTTTTGTTTGTGTTTGCTGTGTCTTTGTTTTGTGTTTGTTTTGTGTTTGTTTTGCGTGTTTGTTTGTGTTTGCTGTGTCTTTGTTTTGTGTTTGTTTTGTGTTTGTGTTTGCTGTGTCTTGTTTTGTGTTTGCGGTGTCTTTGTTTTGTGTTTGTTTTGTGTTTTATGTCTTTGTTGTGTGTTTGATGTGTGTTTGCTGTGTGTTTGTTGTGTGTTTGTGGTGTGATTGATTTGTGTTTGTTGTGTGTTTGTGTTAGTTGTGTTTTCTGTGTTTATTTTGTGTTTGTTTTGTGTTTGCTGTGTGTTTGTTGTGTGTTTGTGGTGTGATTGTTTTGTGTTTGCTGTGTGTTTGTATTTGTGTTTGTTTGTGTTTGTTTCAACATCCGTCACTCGCAATGGGTTTCCTGCGGGACTGTCGTCGGCCTAATCGCAGTGCTTTTCTGTTGTGCGTTGCCCCTCGTTCAGCAGTTGGTGTGCATCGATTATTACGCGGTGTAGCGTGAGCAATCAAATATAATCGATTTATCGGCATGTCGTTATGTTACAACAACAACAAAAACCATCAACAAATTCGTCAATAACACTGCGGCCTTAAAAAGACATCTATTTATTTACAAATATAAGACAGACGACGTTTCGGGCAATGGCCCTTCAACATAGAACACTGCATATTTCTCTGCAATGCCTGGCCGGTAGGATGCGTTCTGTTAGCCACGGGAGCGCCGCTGAGACTGGGACAAAAAAACGTGATTATTATCGATTCGTGACTTGATTTCTCTTCCTTTTGATCGATACAAGCATATCGTTCCATCTGATAGATGATGCTTCGACTTGTGGTCGTTGGTCCCGTTGACAAGGAGTCTCTATGCCACTCAAAGGTAAGGGTGTAAATTAGTCCTGCTATCGCACGCGAAAAGCATCTCTCTCTCGGAAATCCCCTCTGACAGCGGTGCCTTGGCCTACTCTTCCACGCTCGCCCAGACGCCGAGAAGGTTTCGCTGCGCGCGGCTTTCCCCAGTTTCTCGACAGCGACGCGACTCGCGTCACGTGACTTCTAGAAACCGCACCGCGCGCGGAGCGCTTCCCAGAAGAGATTGCGCAATCGGCAGCGGTGAGCGGACGAGACGCAAGATACACGGCGAGAGAGACACACACAGAGTGACCGAGAGAGATTTATAGTGAGACACACACACACAGAGATTCAGAGTGAGACAGACACAGAGTGACAGAGAGAGACACACACACACACAGAGTGACACAGAGAGATTCAGAGTGAGACAGACACAGAGTGACGGAGAGAGATTTATAGTGAGACAGACACAGAGAGAGGCAGAGAGACACACACACAGAGTGACAGAGATAGGTTTAGAGTGAGACACACAGAGAGAGAGAGACACACAGAGTGACAGAGAGAGACAGGTTTAGAGCGAGGCAGACACACACAGAGAGAGCTCTGGAGCGGACACTTTTCGGGTAATTACATCACCGCCGTAGAGACCGCGCCTGTTCACCTGTTCGCTCATTCAATGCGACTCGTGGTGTTAGGTGCTTAGCGAGTGAGTGGAGTGTCGTCGTGGGCTGTGTGGGTGTGTGTGGGAACGCCCGCATTGCTGTGCATTGTCACGAGAGGGCCGATCTCACTCGTCCGGTCATTCGGACGAGGAATGAATGAATGAATGGGCGAACATCCTTTTAAGTGACAGCCGGCATCGGTCGCACGAGGCGCAGTCGCTGGGAGACAGAGACGCGGGGACATTCAGAGACACACAGACACAGACACACACTCGATAGACAGAAACAGAGAGACAGACACACACTCGATAGACAGAAACAGAGAGACAGACACAGACACGCACGCACAAAATAGAGACACACACATCGGCGAACACACGCGTAGATACACATGCGCACATATAGACAGACACAAAGAAAAAGATCCCCCGTATAGCCTGAACAGACTGTAGGGGCAAGTGCTGTTAGCGAGCACCTATAAAGGACAGCACGGCACACGAGGGGGTGGGTGGTCAACACCACGCCCGGCCGCCTTTGTCTCCCTAGCGGCGATGTTTACACATCGCACCAGGTACTCATTTGAGGCTGAGTCGACCTAGGGGACGCCCAGGACCGGTTCAGATAATCGTCACTGGGTGTTGGCCGTGAGCGGGAATCGAACCCGGGTCGCCAGGTTCGTAGCGCAGCGCGCTAACCGCTGCACCACCGCTCCACACACGCAGAGACGCGCACGCATAGACACACGCAGAGACGCACACGCAGAGACACACGCACGCACACGCAGAGACACACACAGAGAAGCACACGCAGAGACACACACAGATACGCACACGCAGAGACACACACAGAGACGCACACGCAGAGACACACACGCACGCACGAAGAGAGGCACGCAGACAAGGTGTCTGAGCGACATCGCCAGCGAGCTGGACTTTGACAACTGTTGGCGGGGATCGTTGTTCGATGAGCGACGGCCTCTGCACGAGCCGGAGCGTGGTGCCTCTCGCATGGCCTCGGACCCAGCACGTGCAGGGAGCGGCGGGGCTCAGTCCGACTCCGACCCCGAGGTAAGGGACGTCTCTCGCCGCGCGCCACGACCCCCAGCTCCGCGCGGACATTGCCCTGCAAGCTTCTCTTTTAAATCCGTGCGGATGAAAGGAGATGGGTTTTTTTTTGTAAATCTCCCACCGCTCTACCCACCCACTCGCCCCACGACTGCAGTTGGATATGCAACTGTTATCCAAACGGACACGTGTTTCACTCGATTCTTTTATTTCCCCGCACCACTGCTGCTGCTGCTGGGTTGTGGGCAGGAGTAGGAGTTATTGGCGTAAGGCACTACCGCTAGATTACAAGGCACGCCTATTAATATGAATAAGAATTATAAATAAGCATACTAACCTATATTCTTTGGGTCTTTAGGTAAAGTCACGGAGATAGGTTCTTTGAACCCATCTACGAAAGACCCAAATAATATGAATTCCTACAGTCACGAAAGCTTTAAGTCAAGATATAATAATCTATTCTGGATTTGAAGTTTTCGTGACTGCAAGAATCCATACTCTTTGGTTCTTTCGGTAAAGTCACGTAGGTGAAAAAAAAAGTAAAATAAAAATATTTTTTAATTTGTTTATTTTCACCTACGTGACTTTACCGAAAAAACTAAAGAGTATAATAATCTATGTTCAGAATCAGAATAATATACTGTATTGTCCCACGATTATCATCATCACCATGGGCCATGGTCCATCCACTGCTGGAATGACAGTCTGCGTCAAGTCGCCGCCACCTCTCACGATGCTGCGACGTAGGGATCCACTCAGCGCCGGCACGGACGAATTGATTTAGCCGCTCCTATCTCTTTGGCGAGACGTTCTCTCTGGCGCGTTTCATTCCTTCGCTACCACTCTGTTATTACTTTTGTCGTTGACCATCAATCATCATCATTATCCTCGTCCCATCTACCCCTATGTATGTACGTTGAACTTCTTTCGCACCGTACGTAGCCAATCGTGCTAAGGTGCGGCGGAAGGGCAAACAAACGAAACTCAAAAAGCAGTTCCAAAAGAAGCGAGTTTTCAATCGAGATGATGATTTAAAAGCGCATAGCTCCGGTGGCTTCCTAATATCGGTAAGAAGAGCGTTCCAGACGGCCGCAGAAACGCATCTGAAAGCGTTGCCGTGTCCTCCTGTCCCGTTTCTCTTGAACAGAGTTTGTAGCCCGTGCGGCATTAACATCTTCACGTTCGTGAGATCGCGTGGATTCACCGTTGTAGTCGTTGTGAGTTTCATTCACGAGAACGAATTAAAATTAGCTTGAATGTGGAATGCCGAAGTAATTCCCGGAACACCGCTCCCCGGACAGTTCTGTCTGATAATAAAGCTCTTACTAACTCGTAGTTGATGATATTAATACTGGTCACCTTGTGAGGTTGCCGCCGCACAGTCTGAGTCGCTCGCTCCCCGTAGACTCAGAGACGCGACGAGGAACCACAGACGAGCAGGAAGGCAGCAGCCACGCAGCAAGTTGACGCTACCAACAATTGGCCAAGCTCTGCGGTCCTCTGCATATGAAGACTGTGTTAGCGGCCATTTCACGAGCGTTCACATGTGGGAGGTGACGGGAGCATCCGGGAGAAAGATCAACAACGTATGCGAGGGAGAAACACTCTATCCCATACAGAGGGAACAGGTGGGAGTCCACATTCTGCTGCCAGGGTGTGGCGCCCACGGGAAGGGCGTCTCACAACCTTTCTGTGCGGTGATTCACCAACCCTCCCCGCTGCCTCCACAGTGCTGAATGACAGGCAGCCAGCCAGCCACGTGCCGAGTCAACACCGCCCGACAGGCCGTTAGCCAGACGGCAGCTGGTTGTACTAAACACACTCCTGCGGAGGGAGCTGGGAGGAACGTTGGGTTGCTCGGTCAATGGCCAGGGTCAACGGCGGCGTGGTGTATTCCGCAAATATGCCCGACTGTGAGGGCGGGCACAAGCCGGCGTGAGTAGGTTAAACGTTGAGTTTTATAAGGGCACCACGGGGTGATCAGCCCCTCCCCACCCAGCCCCACCCCTCCCACCCCCCACCCAGCCCCACCCCTCCCACCCTCTACCCAGCCCCACCCTCCCCACCCAGCCCCTCCCCACCCTCCCTCCACCTCTCCCCACCCTCCCTCCCCACCCAGCCCCTCCCCACCCAGCCCATCCCCACCCTCCCCACCTAGCCCCTCCCCACCCAGCCCCTCCCTCCCTCCCCACCCAGCCCCTCCCTGCACGACGGACGGACGGACACAATAATCCCCTGTGGGCTGGTGTAACCAGGAGGTTCATACCAGTAATAAGCCCTCTTCCCCAAGGCTGCGTCAAGCGTAGGGATCATCCCACCAATACACTGCGACGTGGCGCTGGTCAGTGCGGGGCTGCTGAAGGCATCACAACCGGTTCGAGGTATTCGCCGCTGATGTTGTCCCCTTGGCCGGGAATCGAACTCAAGCTGCCGTGTGGGTTACATCGCAGTGCGCTTAGCCAGCAACCGGTGCGGTGCCGGACCCTAGGTGCGCAGCGGTGTTTTCCAAATCGCAGGAAACAACCTCGCAAGCTCGCAAGCTAGCTATGACAGACGAACTCTCCGTGCCGTTCAGTGGCCGATCTAGCCCCCCCCCGCCACATCACCTCCAGCCCCCCTCTCCATTAGTCGCCGATGCCTCCTCCCCCCTCCATCCCCGACCCTCTCAACAAAACGCGGGTCGCGGTTGCGCAGTTGGGCAGAGTGTCGTGAAGGTCGAGCAAGCTCGCGAGCGAGTGGCCGCGCAGTGGAAAATGGCCGAGCTGTACCGCGCTGGCCCACCGCTCGGCACGTCGGACTTTCTTTCGCACCGTACGTAGCCAACCGCGCTCAAGCCGTTGAGCCGGAAGCGACGCGGAAGCTTCGTGGAACCGGGAATTGGCCGAGCTCCGACGCCAAAAAAAGACCAAATCGTAGCGCGATCAGACGACGCGAGGTTTCGGTGGGGGAAGTCAGAGAACGAGCAGAGTCGGCATCGCGTGGCAAGATTTTAGTTTCGGTGGCTTCGGGAGGGGGGCGGGGGGGCGGTTTGGGTGCGCGGGTGGAGGTCGTTACAGTTCACGCGCACCGAGCCGCAGACAGAGAGACAGACACGCAGGGACAGACACAGGAACGGGAAGAGACAGCGGAAGACTGAGATGTCACCACGACTTTCGTGAGGTCGGTGAGAGAGACGGCCGCCTTTGTCTCTCCAATTCCGTTGAGGGCAAACACGCATTGTCGGTATCACCCGGCGGAATAGGGCGTGGGTGGGGGGGATGCCAACAATGATTTTTTTTGGAGGATCGCATCTCTAGATCACGTGCGCGCGTGTGCGCGCGTGCGCGTGATCGCGATAGTGTAGCGGTTAGCGCGCTGCGCTATAAACCCGGCGGCCAACACCAGTGACGATTTTCTGAACCGGTCCTGGGCCTCCCCTAGGTCGACTCAGCCTCAAATGAGTACCTGGTGCGATGTGTAAACATCGCCACCGAGGAGACAAAGGCGGTCGGGCATGGTGTCGCCCACCCACCCCCTCGTGTACCGTTCGGCCTTCATAGGTGCTCGCTAACAGCACTTGCCCCTTGATGTCTGTTAAGGCTATACAGGGGATCTTTGTTTTTTTTCATCGCGACGTCACCACGGCAGCCTCGTGCGGGCAGCATGGCTCTGAATGAGCTCCAGAAGAAGGAGGGAGGACGACTGGCGCCTCCCGTTGGCCGCGTCCCATGCGCCACGGTTCCATGGGCCGGATCTCTCGTGTCATAAAGTAGCCAGTTACCCGGCTGTTTTACACGGGAGATCCGTGGTGCTTGATCACAATTGGCTACTTTACACGTGCAATAAAGTAGCCAGTTACCCGGCTTGTTTTACACGGGAGATCCGTGGTGCCTGATCACAATTGGCTACTTTACACGTGTAATAAAGTAGCCAGTTACCCGGCTTGTTTTACACGGGAGATCCGTGGTGCTTGATCACAACTGGCTACTTTACACGTGTCATTAAGTAGCCAGTTACCCGGCTGTTTTACACGGGAGATCCGTGGTGCTTGATCACAATTGGCTACTTTACACGTGCAATAAAGTAGCCAGTTACCCGGCTTGTTTTACACGGGAGATCCGTGGTGCTTGATCACAATTGGCTACTTTACACGTGTAAAGTCGCCAGTTACCCGGCTTGTTTTACACGGGAGATCCGTGGTGCTTGATCACAATTGGCTACTTTACACGTGTAATAAAGTAGCCAGTTACCCGGCTGTTTTACACGGGAGATCCGTGGTGCTTGATCACAATTGGCTACTTTACACGTGTAAAGTCGCCAGTTACCCGGCTTGTTTTACACGGGAGATCCGTGGTGCTTGATCACAATTGGCTACTTTACACGTGCAATAAAGTAGCCAGTTACCCGGCTTGTTTAACACGGGAGATCCGTGGTGCTTGATCACAATTGGCTACTTTACACGTGTAAAGTCGCCAGTTACCCGGCTTGTTTTACACGGGAGATCCGTGGTGCTTGATCACAATTGGCTACTTTACACGTGCAATAAAGTAGCCAGTTACCCGGCTGTTTTACACGGGAGATCCGTGGTGCTTGATCACAATTGGCTACTTTACACGTGTAAAGTCGCCAGTTACCCGGCTTGTTTTACACGGGAGATCCGTGGTGCTTGATCACAATTGGCTACTTTACACGTGTAAAGTCGCCAGTTACCCGGCTGTTTTACACGGGAGATCCGTGGTGCTTGATCACAATTGGCTACTTTACACGTGCAATAAAGTAGCCAGTTACCCGGCTTGTTTTACACGGGAGATCCGTGGTGCCTGATCACAATTGGCTACTTTACACGTGTAATAAAGTAGCCAGTTACCCGGCTTGTTTTACACGGGAGATCCGTGGTGCTTGATCACAACTGGCTACTTTACACGTGTCATTAAGTAGCCAGTTACCCGGCTGTTTTACACGGGAGATCCGTGGTGCTTGATCACAATTGGCTACTTTACACGTGCAATAAAGTAGCCAGTTACCCGGCTTGTTTTACACGGGAGATCCGTGGTGCTTGATCACAATTGGCTACTTTACACGTGTCATTAAGTAGCCAGTTACCCGGCTGTTTTACACGGGAGATCCGTGGTGCTTGATCACAATTGGCTACTTTACACGTGCAATAAAGTAGCCAGTTACCCGGCTTGTTTTACACGGGAGATCCGTGGTGCTTGATCACAATTGGCTACTTTACACGTGTAAAGTCGCCAGTTACCCGGCTTGTTTTACACGGGAGATCCGTGGTGCTTGATCACAATTGGCTACTTTACACGTGTAATAAAGTAGCCAGTTACCCGGCTGTTTTACACGGGAGATCCGTGGTGCTTGATCACAATTGGCGAATTTACACGTGTAAAGTCGCCAGTTACCCGGCTGTTTTACACGGGAGATCCGTGGTGCTTGATCACAATTCCACCACCTCGCCAACACTCAGATTCTCTCCACATTTCACGGTGAACTAAATAAGCGTGAGGGTGTTTTATTGGCGCATTTCCTCCATCGCTTTCGTTAGAGTAGGTGCTAAAGTATCATTGACGAATGGCTTCCGTGCGGAGTTTATTGTTTGCCTTAACTTTATGATCGTGTTTCAATTGTTGCACACGACAAAGTATAAACGTGCGCACGAGCACAATGTGCTATGAAGACGGGCAACTGCCTGACGTGTTGTTAACCGAGCCTACGCGACAGTGCCACTCAAAATAGAAAGTTTGTTACCATCAAAGGCACACGCCCTGGTTTGGTGCATTTGCCTGTTAAACCGAAGCAGCGCAGTTTGCTCAGAACGGAATTGAACAATGCATAAGCGTCAACGCTTATCGAGCCATTGCATAGAAATATGTAATGCTCTATGAAGAAGGGACATTGCCCATCACGTTACCTATTGTAAGTATACATTTTGATACATCGATTTGCCAAGAATCTGGATCGTTGATTTGCCAGAATGCTGGCAAATCGCCTGATGAAGCTGTTGTAATCACCGGCGAACGTAAATCTTCTGGGTTTACTCTCCAATAGACAGGGGGCTCAAGTCGTAACTCATCGGCACGTGTTGCTGACGTGACAAATCTTGATAATTGGCTGTGTCGGGTGGTGGTGGTGGTGGTGGATTAACGATACATTGAAATTTACGCGAACTAATCCCACTCCCCGCTTCCCTTCGCCTCCCCCCCCCCAAAAAACCCCATTCATTATGAATAACATCGATCGCGAAAGCCGACTTAGAACTGCGTGTTCAACTTGCGATCATCATTCTCTCTCGACGGTGTTCCCTCGCTCTGTCGGCCAGGACTCCCCGCCTCGCCCTGGGGGTCGCCGTGGCACGCGGCGCGAGAAGAACCGCGTGGCGGCTCAGAAGAGCCGGCAGAAGCAGACGCAGCGGGCCGATATCCTCCACCAGGTATCCACATCGATGGACTGAATGTGTGCCCCTGTCTTATTTTAGACTCGTGTAAAGGAGAGCCGACACGAGGTTGGGAAGAAGGGGTGGGGTGGGTGGGAGGGTCCGTCCTTTAATTTTCTCCAGTCCACACTTGCCTACAGGCCCCTCTCCCAATATGTTCCCCGCCAGAATGCCCCCCCCCCTCCTCCTCTATTTCCTCGCCTACTCCACCAACTCTTCCACTGTTCCCGCTCCACTGCCCTGCCCCCCCGACCCCCCCCCCCCCCTTCCTTTTGGCAGGAATCCTCTCCATGCCCCTTAACCCACTGTCCTTATCCATTCCTAACCCCTGACATCCCTTACACTTGTATATCTCTCTACGTATGTTGAACTTCTTTCGCACCGTTCGTAGCCAATGGCATAGTATCGTAACATGGGACCTTTTTGGCCAGTATCAAAGAATACAAAATAATAAGAATAGGTTATGCCCTTTCCGGCGATAAAACAGGTGTTAAGATTTGCAAATGCCAAATAGATACATTTTGCAAAGGATTCAAGTCCGCATTATCCACACGTACTTGTGGTGAACATGATATAGCTGCTCATCCCGGAGCTATAAATGCTCTGAAACGTGCATCGTCTTTGTACTGTTCGCCTTTTGACGTTCTCTGGTGTAACAAAGGTGCGACTCGGCCATATAGAAGGCTGTCTGTCTGGTGTAGGCCAATCAGGTTCAAAGACTGCATATATAGAATTATCAGAGCATGTTTGTTTGCATGCTCACCACAAGTCGGTGTGGTTCATGTAGGTGGAAGTGTGGGGGGTGGTGGTCACTAAAAGGCTTTGGCGAAGGGACGGGACGGAGTGGAGGGGCGAGTGGAGGGGCGAAGAAGGGAATGGGCGATAAAGTCGTGAGGCTTCAAAAGAGGAATGGAAGGAGCTTAATGTGCACTTGGGTTTGAAACATTCAGCCGTAAGTTGATGTATAAGCATGGCCCGCGCAGTTTTGAGACCATGTCTGCGGAACACAGTGGCGACATTCCCTCGGTGATGATGGCCTCACACTATGGGAATGGAGCGAATACCAAATGCATCTTGCGCATGATAGCAGCAGCAGCATGACCACGCGCGCGAGCTAAATGTCAATGTCGGTGTCCGCAAACCACGAGAGGACTTAACACACACTCGTGATATATTACTTGGGTTTGACTTTATTTTATTAAATCTTGATTTTAAGAATCCATACTCTTTGGTTATTTCGGTAAAGTCACGTGGGTAGACAAATAATTGATGCTTCAACAGTTTCCCTGCTGCGATTGTCTCACCTGATGACGGTTGCTTGTGATGCGATCGAAACGTCGTGATCTATTTTAGTTTCTACCTACGTGACTTTTCCGAAAGAACCAACGAGTATTTATTTGAATTTCGATTTAAAGCTTTCGTGACTACAGGGATTTATCTTCTTGGTTGTTTCGGTAAAGTCACGTAGAAGGGAGATAATAAAATAATAAAAATAAAACATAATAAAATAATACAATTCTCACGACGTTTCGCCCACGAGACCTGTTATTGTGTTTTATTTTTATTATTTTATTATCTCCCTTCTACGTGACTTTGCCGAAAGAACCAGGAAGGAGTATTTATTTGATTTCCGATAAGGCTCATACCACTATGAGACCTCCTTTGCCAGTGGCAAAATATAGTAGTAGGTTTTAACCCTTTAAACTGGTACAAAACTGACACCTTTATACAAGGCATCATGTTTGCAATAACCACAACGCAAGCAGTCAAAATGCAAACAAAAAGAAACATCTCTGATAATGGTAATGATATGCACTGTCCTTGAAGTTGATTGGTCCACACCCGAGCCAGCTTTCCTTAGAGCCTAGTCTCCATTGGTGTTGGACCAGATGACGCCAAAAGGCGTACAACGCATATCATTACCATTATCAGAGTTGTTTCGTTTTGTTTGCATTCTGACTGCTTGTGTTGTGGTTATTGCAAACATGATGCCTTGTATATGCTATTATTTAATTTATTATTTTATCTTTATACGTGACTTTACCGAAAGAACCAAAGAATAATTCCTGCAGTCACGAAAGCTCCAAAATTAAGATTGTATAAAGGTGTCAGTTTTGTACCAGTTTAAAGGGTAAAAACCTACTACTAAGGCTCATCCCGTTTGGCCAAGTTGCCCGGCTCCATGGCGAGGTTACCTCGTGAGCACACCCGCCCCAACCAACAACGGCCTCGCGCGGGCTCCACGGCCGACAATGTCGTAGCGTTGCCCTTCAAACCCCCTCCCGGCTCCCCGCAGGAGAGCGAGACCCTGGAGCAGGAGAACGCGGCGCTGCGGCGCGAGATCGAGAGCCTTCGCGTGGAGCTCCACAGCCTCGACGCGCTCCTCCGGCAGCACGAGGCGAGGTGCTACCACGGCTCCGGCGGTGGGGGGCCCTCCACCGGGGTGCTCGCGGGGGGGGGCCCCGCACCCCCGCCGGAGACGAACGGCCCCATCTTCGCGGCCGCGCAGGCCCTCCACGGGACGACGTTTTCTGTCAGGGGGCCGATGGTGGCGGCGGCGGCGACGGCGTCCAGCAGCGGGGCGGTCAACGCCGCCTTTCCCCTGCAGCCGAACGGCGATTTCAAGTTTCCCTACGGCTCGTAAAGCCTTGACGGGGTGCATGTTTGAAGGCTCGGGTGTCAGAAACATCGGTTAATTTATTTGTTTGTTGTTGTTGCTGTTGTTGTTAGATGCACCCATGAATGTATTTCTCGACGGTTATTTTCCCACGACGTTGCTAAGACTAACTTGGAATAGGGCTTGCCGGCGTAAGGCACTACCACGATTGCATACCTTTGTATATTAATGTTATTGTTGCATCATATATGCCTACACACCACCGCAGCATGCTGAGGTCCAAATAAAACACTTTGTCCCATGACCAAAATCATTCCTGGAACAGCGTTCCAGACTATTCCGGCTGAAACTAAGACACTGTGTGTACCTAAGTTCTGGGAATTATTTTCAATCTTAAATCATGTTTCTTAACCCCCCCCCCCTCTATCCACCCAGTGTATATGTGTATGTGTGTGTGCTAAGACAAAGACGCCCCGTATATCTTTTACAGACTGTTAGCGAGCACCTATGAAAGCCGACACAACGTACGATGGGGTGGGTGGCAAGCACCACACCTGGCCGCCTTTGCCGAGTGTGTGTGCAACCACACACACTACGAAACCAGTGACCTGAGTTCGATTCCTGCTCATGGCCAACACCAGTACCGATTACCTGAACTGATTCTGGACCCCCCCTAGGTCGACTCAGCCTCAGATTTGTACCTGGAACGGTGTGTAAACATGGCTACTAGGGAGACAAAGGCGACCGGGCGTGGTGCTGGCCACCCACCCCCTCGTGTGCCGTTCTGGTCTCATAAATTGCTCGCTAAAAGCCACTTGCCCCAACAGTCTGCCGAGGCTATACGATGGGGGGGGGAACTTTGTCTTGTGCACAATCCTCTGGAGCGACTCTCCCTCGTTCTCTGACCAAGGGCAGAACCACGACTCAAGTCCCCTCCATCCCATGCCGCCGACTCCCCACCTCTCGTCGCTTCAAAACACCGCCACGCACTCCGCGCTCGAGACCTTGAGCCATGACGAGCACATGACTTAGTCCACTGGCCAGAGCAGTCACTGGTAACCACTTCAAGTGGGCAACACCTTCAGGTGGTACCCATTTACTCACACGGCCAAAGCGAGTGAGGTGTTCGATGGCACCGCTCATCGCAAGCGTTCATCGCACAAGTCGCCGTGACTGGCCACGCCAGAGACGTTTGAACCGCTGTGGTCGTGCCACCTTGGATGGCACCGACAAGTGAAATTTAGTGGCCCTGGGCTCGTGGACTCCATGAGACTCGAGGCGATTTCTCTCCCCTCCCCCCCACCCCGCCGTGCCGTAACGCGTTGTTTACGTGACACCCGTCAACACCCGTATTTGAATGTTGTATGCACCGTCCCGAAACATTTCATTCAATCCGATCAGCATTAGACTGTTAGCGGCGTTACATTGCTGTGCTTGTGTTTTTTTGTTGTTGGGAGCATCGTATTATTTCGCCGTGTTGTTATCCTGCACTCCTAGCCGCAGGCAATAGGCCTGCACGGACGCATTCGCTTTTCGTGGACAGCTGAGAGTGCGACCTGGGAGTTAAAAAAAAAAACCTTGAGATTCCACAAACCATCCATCCCCTCGTCCAGAAAACATGCCCTCAGCTGAGTGATGTGTCTTGCTCGATTGAGCATTGAGGGGGGGGGGGGGTCTCACCTTTCAGAGCGTTTTATAACCCAGATACTGTGACGGGAGCCTGTAAGACCATCCAGCACTGTGTAGGCAGCAGCGAGGGTTGGTGGATCACGTGCAGATGGTGTGAATCTCCCTTCTCGTGGGCGTCGAGGGGGAGGTGCCATACCGTGGCTCGCCAGCAGCAAGTGGATTAATCGCCATCTGTTTCCATCTGTACGGGGATTGCGTGTTGCTTCCCGTCGCGCAAGACATAGGGTTTTCCCCGGATGCTCTGGTTTCCTCCCACTTGTATAGGCACCCACCAATAATTGGCTGAAAACATCTTAAAATAAAAACCCATTGCAGGCAGGACCCTCCAGAAAATGAGTCCTTGGACTCGGTGTGGCTTTCCTGGATAAGTAAATTATTGTTTATCATTATTATTGATAAATGTCATTCGTAGTGGCGGGGTGGATGTATCGGTGTGTTGATGCTGCAGGCACTTCCCTCGTGATGGGCCCTGTGGATTAGGAACTGAATGTAACTTTCATTTCATGCCCTGGCTTGCCGTCATTCCCAGGTTCGTTACAAATGTTTTATATATAATTAAATAGTCATACATTGTGTCAATGTGTATATAGTATACGGTACTAATACGGTGTGTAAACATCGATACTGGGGAGACGTCGACCGGTACGAGGTGCTTTTAAATCCCACGTCCCCCTCCCGCGCCTCCACAACCCCTGGACTTCAGAGGCACTCGCCAGTAGCACTTGCCCCAAAAGTCTGAGTCGGCTACACGGGGGACATTTGCCTTTTTTTGGTACATATAGAGATGTGGGGAGCAGTGATTCACTCACTACGCAACGAATCCGGCAAACCTCAGTTCTATTCCTGGCCACGGCTAACATCAGTGGCAAGGGATATCAGAACACGTAGTGGTCCAACCCCCAAGGTCGACTCAGCCCGATGTGGATACTGTATCCGGATTTGTGTGCAAACATCAGCGCTGGGGAGACAATGGCGGTCGGACGTGGCAATTGTTGAATGCACCACCAGTGGGCTGACCACTGCTGGACGATGAATGATACTCGGTAGTGGACAATACATTTTTCTCTGAACTTTCAGACATAATGACCATCAACGCCTTCTAGCCGTGACGCGTCCTGCCCAAGCCAAACTTACCCTTCAGTGTGAACGATGCCATTAACCTGTCTATGTTCTCTTCCATCTAAACCAGCTCAAGCCTTTAGTAAATCACGTGACTTCAGTGTGCCCTCGCTCACATATTCACTTTAAGATGTTTTCTTGTTCATGTTTTTTGTTTGTTGCGGTTGCACCCGATTCAAGAGCCGAATGGCTCACAGTGCTATACCATATTCTTAGGTTTTTTCGGTAAAGTCACGTAGGTAAAAAATTAAAATGAATAAAAATAAAATAAAAAGGGCTCTACCAAATAAATGAAACTGAACTGAAACTGCTCCCCCCCCGCTCTGAACCAATCCTCTCTCCCCGCCACCACCCCCGTGAAAATAGACGCTTCTCCCCCGTGAAGCGCCCTACTGCACCCGCGTTCTCTCTTCTCCCTCTCACCCCTCTCGTCATCGGTAGCTTGGCCCGGTCATTCCTCCTCCCCCTCCTCCTCCTCCCACTCACCCTCCCCCCTTCCTGCCCCCAGTGCTGGTTTGTTCTCCCTGCTTGCTCATCTTGAGCCGTGCGCTCTATTTTTGTCCGTCTCGGGGAAGTCCCCACTCCACTCCCCCCCCCCTTTGTTGCGTCTCACTCCAACGGCGCGGTCTCTCAAAGCCTTCCTGGCGCACTTTTTAGTTTTTGTTCCACATTTTTTCGTCGAGGGTGCTACGTTTGTGAACCATGGCACTGGTAAGGATGGTTATTAAATAAATAAGTAACTATAGTCTGTATTACATGTGGCTTAACAGGTTTTAGTTTAAAAAAAAAAAAATCCCAAGGGCAACTTCATATTTCTAATGAAGTTTCGATTTAAAGCTTTCGTGACTGCAGGGATTCGTATTCTTGTTTTATTCGGTGAAGTCACGTAGAAGGGAAAAATAAAATAAATAAAACATAATATTATAAAATGTTTAATTGTTTTATTTTTATTATTTTATTATTTCCCTTCTACGTGACTTTACCGAAAGAACCAATAATATTTAATGAAGCTCTAAAAAAAAGCATTACTTGACCACTTTCCCCTTCGGCTGTGGACGCGAAATAATAGTTAACATGATAGTTTTTGTAAAAAAAATGTTTTCATATAAATAGCAAACTATTCGACTTCTCAACGCAGCGCTTCACTCTTGCACATCCAATTTGCAGGGTTGGCTACGTACGGTGCGAAAGAAGTTCAACATACGTACATACATACGTCCGTGCTATGTCGGAGCCCTGTGTGCGCATGTCTGTGTTGGTGTTTGTGTCACGATCGGTCGTCATTTTACTGCTTCTGTAACTCAGGAATAAAGTCCCCCATGTCAGTAACAACGCGCGTACTCTGTTGTTTATAGAGCCTGTTTATATAACGTCTCACCTCGGCACACTTTGAACGGAATAGGTAAACGTGCACCACTGCAATGCTATTGTAATGTTCTTGTATGGAGACGGAGTTGTCGTAGAGGCAACACGGTTTATTTATAATATAACAAGATACACTCAATCCCTAACACAAAGGGGTAGTGGCCCCTGTCACCCACAACTTGGGGAGGTACAGCCTCCGGGCTATCGTACCTAGTCACTCTGACTTCTCCAGCTCTCTGGCTGGCTAGACCTAGGGGAGGCTGACCCACCACTGGCCCGGTGGGTCCCTGACCACTGGCCCGTCCGGACCTGGCCCTCACAAGGACATCAGGCCGAGGGAACCTCAAGGTCCTAACCTCCGACCACTGGCACCGCACTGAGCCCCGGCCCTTAAAAGGCCATCGGTGGCTTGGGGTCCAGGGTCTTTTTAAATCCTTTATATTAAGTTCGCTTGCTTGCTTGCGTGCTTGCATGCTTGCTTACGACCGTGCAAATCTTTCGGTCGTTTTTTAACCCACTTCCCGTGATCCAATCGAGCTGACATTTTCCACACAGACTCGTTGTGCGTGACAATTAATTTTCGTGAAAATTTTTTTCGAAAATTTTACACTGTTTAGGGAATTTTTTTAAAAATATTTAATTACCAATTGCTTAATGCTGGCAGAATCATCTGACCCATAGGTGGCAGCTATCTCAAGCCAGAGGACGAGAGGACTCTAGCCGCCACGCATATAAAGGATTTAGAGTGAAAAACTTTGTTTTTACGGGTTAATTTTTTAAATCCTTTATATTAACTTCACTTGCTTGCTTGCTTGCGCGCTTACGACCGTGCAAATCTTTCGGTCGTGTTTGAACCCACTTCCCGTGATCCAATCGAGCTGACATTTTGCACACAGACTCGTTGTGCGTGACAATTTATTTTCGTGAAATTTTTTTCCAAATTTTTCCACTTTTTAGGAAAACATTTTTTCCATATTTAATTTAAAATACCAATGGGATAAAAATGAAACTCTTACTCAAGAAAAACAGAAATGAATAATAAAATAAAACTGATGCCACGCATATAAAGGATTTATAGTGATAAACTTTGTTTTTACGGGTTAATTTTCTTGAGGCGGCTTCGGCTTGAGGCGAACTGCCCAGCGCTCTCACGAACCCGCTTTATATACCGTTTCCCACCGAGGGGCGGGGCTCTGTGGGATCGTAGACACTGCCCACAGCCCCCTCCCCCCGGCGGGTCCCCGGCCAGGAGTACACAACCACCCCGTACCCGGTAAGCACC